GAATTTCCACGAAACTGTTGCAAACGACTCCCTGTTCTCAGTGGTGTTTAAGAATTGCGCGACTGCATTGGCTTCCTTAGTTGCTCTCCATTCTGCTTTTTTATTCACGAGCAAAAAAAATTTACAAATATTTCGAGTTTGATGAAGAGATGATCAGAAAGATTCAAATAAGGATAGTCACAAATTAGTTACAAGGCCGTGAAGGACGGTGCTTGGGAATAGTCTTTTATGGCGCCTATAATAGGTTCAACCTCCTGTACACGTCCTTAATAATCAACCGTAAAAGTGGAATCAATTTCCAGTCCTCGAACCCTCCTCCAGCCATCAATTCCAAGGGTTAAAATTGAAAGTAAGCAGTTCCTTCACCAAAACGGCAACGTTCACAACTGTAACTCTAGACCTTTTTGACTTTCTCGAAAGTCCAGGTCTTTCCTCATGCTATGCGACCTCAAACCAGCTCCTATCTTTTAAGAACATGCTCTATTGATGTTAGGTCATGTTCGCACCTAAGATGCCCATTAGCTACTTCACTCCTCTAGGTCAAGCTAAAAGGGCAAAGTCATAAATGGTGACCCCGACACGGCCTGCCACTACTTTGTCTAATCACTCTTGTTATGGGTCAGTCGTCAACGATCGAAATAGAATGACGAGGAGCAAGCACCGTCTTGACATGCGCTTTTTTTGTAAGACTGTGCTCAAAGGTCGCGCCGCTTGACATCAAAAAGAGGGTACAAGTGCCGATCTGAATAATCGAAGATTCTGTGAAAAGGATCGGATTGGTACTGATTGATCCCCAACTCGTCAAACTCCCACGTATGGACTGTCTGACATCTTTCACGAAATCTAAGTTAATGGAATGGCGTATTATGCTAATCCCAAACATAGATTTTGGCTCATTTCGGGGGAGGGGGGACATTTTGCAGTTTCGCTGCTTCACTAGTCTACAAGTCTCAATATGGTGAAACCTGTGAACTCTGGTATCATAGGATTACTATTTTGAAATCGAAACAAGAACCTAAATATTTACTACGCAATGAACATAAATAATAGTGGGTTGTCCCATAAGTCATGGCGTTCCTTTCCTGCCCAAATTTTTATTTTAAAAGTGAAAAACGTTTCCAACGTGTTCCTCGCCACTTGACAAACAATTCCACAATGTAAGATTGTGCAATGGACTTGAAGCTATTTCTGATTTTCTGTCGATTTTTCTTTCATTGAAATGGAGTTTCGGGCCGATGCAAAAGAGTTTTAATAACAACTTTTTGTGTTTTTCTCGGATCTGTAATTACAAGAGAAGCTCAAAACTTGTGATATATACCACCATAAGAAGACCCTTCTTATGAAAGCCTGAAATTGGTTCAAGCTATTCAAGAGTTGGGTAATCGAACCTCGTAAATGTGCATCGCATGGGGCCCTCTTGGGGAGCGGCTGCTTGCGGACGAACCCACTAACTTTCAAAGGTTCAACGTTAACGAAGGTGATGCTCGATTATGATAAGCATCTGACCAACAATTTCTCAATATTTGGCATAAATCCCCATGAATAAGGTGATTCCATAGGTCTCAGTTGGAATCGATAGGGCAGCAGGTTCGGGGCTTGTCTGTAGGGTCGGAATAGGAATTTTCGAATCGTTTGAAGCCTTACAAGCATTTCTAAGAGGCCATATACTTAGGACTAAGCCTATGCTAATTAGCTTTTTCATTCAAAGCAAAAAGTTTGCCGAAAATGCTCATTTCCGTGCTCAATGTCGATCTGACACTGGGTTGAGCACTCCAATATTGAGTAGCACAGTGAGAACAGAAACTTTAAAAAAAACTGAGAGAACTAGTAAAAAGCGAGGAATTCTCTGCAAAACAGTATACAACTTAAAAATACAATGGCAATTATTTCGTTTTTAACGCGATATTTTGAGTGAGAACAATTACATATGGGCCAACCCAATGCATGGCACGTAAATATTTCAGATAACGTAAAAGCAGTTAGAGCATCTTTGAGTAAAAGGTGAACAGAATGAGATGTTAAATATATTACGACCGTATAAGGTAGCGGCTATTATATTTTGCTGTTAAAACGACGAATCACGAAATAATGCTAAGATTTCAAATAGTTGTTTAATTACTATGAAGTTCCCATGAGACTTTTTTTATTCATTCCTCATTTTGAACTCATTACTTCAATACTTATTTCAGATCGACAAAATTCGCGAATCACGACCTGGATCGTTGAAATCGGGCAGAACTGGACGACGTCCCGACATCGAAAAGCAGTTATTCGCGATGTATAGCAAGCGACTGGAAAGCGGTCTCAAAGTGAGCAATCGTTGGTTAAGAGAGAGGGCTCGCGAATTGGCCGGTAGTGTTAATGCCGCTTGTCAGTTTTCGGATCGATGGCTGAGGAACTTCAAAAAGCGTTTTCACATTGATCTTCAACGCGGCACCACAGACGGTATGGATGGTACTCCCTCCAACTCTGATGACCCTATGAAGGTTTCATTCTCAGGACACAGACTCCTTTACCGATCCTGCTGAACTTGATGTCAGTTTGCGCAATGAAGTGGTTGCTGAAATTGTTAACCAAACGGAACAACTCCCAATACAAGCATTTTACGAGAAGTTTCCTTTGTTTTCAAAAAGAGACCCCGTTGGAGGAGGAAAACGTGGACGAAAGGCGCAATTTCCGGATGTTGAACGAGTGCTTTACGAGCGTTTCCTCGAGAGACAGAGTGCCGGTGAACGTATCTCAAATCGCTGGCTACAGGACCAAGCTCGTGATCTGGCCGCAGAGCTTTACGCTGGAGCAGAGGATACTGTGAAATCGTCAAGATGTCTGTTTTCCGAACGATGGCTTTCCAACTTCAAGAAGCGCTATAATATCAGTCTGAAAGTGAAGCCGATCAAACAAGAGGACGAGATGGATGATCATCCCGCTGAGCTGGAACAATCACCGCCTGCATACGAAGAGATCGACGTTAACGCGGTACTAACGGCATGGCTTATGAACCAAACTGACATACCACCACTTTCATCGCCGGGTAACTCATCATCTTAATGATATTACATGTTCTCTTGTTATCGGGTTATATAGTTACAAACGTACAGTCCGTATCTTTGCATTTTTGCTATGCTATTGGTGAACTTCATCCTGTTATTTGACTCTTATTTTGCATATGATATCCCTTTGATAAGTATGGAGCAATAAATAGAATCATTCTTGCTTGAGTCACAAATCCATGTGTTATCAAAGTTGTAAAGAACTTCTAGTGTCACAGATGTACCAGTAAGGCGAGGCATTTGAAGAAGCATGTGAGGGTTTTTGTTGAAGCTCAGGGGAGGGCTCCAGAAAATGTGACCACTTTCCTTTGTGCAGAAAGTCTTTCTGAATATTAAAAGTTCCAAGATGAGGATTTAAGAAAATGGGCTGTTTTATGACAGTATGAGTTAGTCAGTTATGAGTTTCCGATAGTAGAGGACCAATGCCGTTTCAGATACGGATAGGGTTTTGACCACCGAATGTAGCGGTGAAATACTCCGCAAAATTCTAGCTGGCAGTTTGTTAGCTTTTGAGTAATTTCACTGTTGCACTTAGCAGCTACAGTCTTGTTCGCTGCGGGTGATGGGGCGTGTCAGGGAGGATGGGTATGGCGCTGCCCCAGCCCGTTTTTCTTTGCTTCTTC